AGTGACATCCCCCTCCATCTGCCATCCATGGTGCTTTTAGTAACATTTTGAGAAACGGTGCCAGCCAGCATTTAATTAAGTTCTGGTATGCCAACATCTCCCTGTTGTAACATGGAATATCTCTTCTTTTGTCAATTTCTCTCCTGTTTCTGTGCTGCTCTGTGTCGGTCTTACTGTAACAGGGAAAGATGTCGCCTCTGGGAAAAGCAGGTAAAGAAGCCATCAAAACCAATGCAAGTAGAAAGAGTTGCAATCAGCGCACCAAAAGGAAAAAAAACTAGTTGTAGAGCATCTTTTGTGTGGATCTCTTCTCCTTTTCCCCAGTTTCACTTTGTTTCCCTCTCTTCCTGTATGTGTGTGTGTGTATGTGTGCTTGGAGCTTTCAATTCAGTAGAGGCTACTAGTAATGTTTCTCTCCCAGTAGAAATGGCTGCTGTTTGTTCAATTGTTGTGATAGATTGATGTGGGGTGGGAAAAGATGGGCTTTTATGCACCTGAACATAGGAACAGAAAAGTCTTTATGAGAAGCCAGTAGCTCTCCATTCAAGAATCGTCTGATGGGAGATGCATTTTGCTGGAAGTTTTTCTCGTTTTTTTGCAAAGTCTTTCACGAACGCTTTCCAATATATTCAGGCAGTCAGGCAAGACACAAATACCCCCAAAAGGGCACTTGTTATTTGTTATTCCACAAAAATGCTGCCTCCAGTTTAGGGCAGTTTTCCTGTAGGGTTTCAACAAGTGGCCACCTTAATGGTTTCCATTCTTTTCAGTTTGCACAGGATACAAAATGACTCTTCAAATGCCCACCAACGGTTTGCACTTGTGATGTAGACAGTTCTCATATAATTAGCTATGCATCTGTACTTTAATATTGTGGTTATCTGTAAATAGTCCTATAAACAGAGAGGACGGCTGAAGATCCATATTTGTCTGCCTGATGTATACTGGCTGGAATCCTGTTTCGACCACTGTGGCTTACTTTAAACTAATAACGTTGACTGTCTAAACCAAGTTGGTTGATGGTAAGTATCCTGAATGCAATGTGTAGAATGGCATCGCTCAAAAAATGGATATGATGCTCTATTAAAAGGAAAATCATATTTGTACTGCGAATTCAATTTTAAAAAGATTTTTTTAGCTTGTCTTTCGTCATTTTACTCATCTAATAATTCATAATGCCTTCTTTAGACAGCCGCCTTTGATCCCTTTCACTATTGTTTTTCCCATTCCTATTTTCTATCCCATTTCCTATTTACAGTAATAGATGTAACCCAAGATGACCTCAGATCAGAGACAGTGGGTCTGTATTCTCCGAGCTCTGTTTTTCATGTTCTTCTGATAGAATGAGGGTTAAAGGGGACTGCTTGTGCAGAAATGAGGTTACAGCAATTGGGCTTGCAAATGATTGGCAGGGATAGATTGTGGATGATCTAGTTTTTTTTTTTTCTTTTAAACTGTCCCCATTTTTGCTTTCCTTTTTGTGTAATGCTGCTTCTTATTTTGAAAAGAGGGAGGTTGTGTAAGTCATGCTTACAGAATAAAGCACAACTTGTGAACAGAAAAAACGAGTACATGAATAAGCAGTCGTGATGTGTTTGGATGCGCTGCCAGAACATGGTAGCTTTTGCAGTGGCCTATTGTATATGAATCTATGTTGTACTAAAATAATTTGAGAATGCAGGACCTTTATCTGTTTTCCTTAAACATCTTGAGCTGTCTTCCTTTCGGTCTCTTTCATCCCTCCCTCTTTCTCCCCCTCTCCTCCTGTGCACCATCTGCATGATGCTTTGTATCCAGTCTGAAGGAGTGCTTGCTGTTCTCCGCTGTGAATGTGGGAGTCGGTGTGGATCTTGCGTGTGAACGTGTTTGTGTATGTGTTCGTCGGCATCGCAGTCACTCTCAGCTCATTACCTGACATGATGGATGGTGCAAGTGCCATTAAACAACGCCCAGCCAGGGACGCCTGGCACCCTACAGCTGGCACTGAGTAATGGGCACATTGGCGACGGCACGCTTGGAAATACCAGGGAGTCCTGTGTGGGTGTGCCTGCAGTCAACTCCATGGCTATGCTTCCTGGTTCTGTTCAGCCCCACCTGCCACCTGGCTGCCCAGTAGATGCCATGGGCATTTCTGGGCAGCCATCATTGGATAGCATAGGAGGCAGTGTTTGTATGACTCTGTCATAGAACTGGCAAGAGAAAAACCCAAAGTGTGACTGGCCTGCTTTCTGACCACAAGTGCTACAGTGGCATATTCTCTGTTACTAGCAGCGAATCATATCCGATTGAATTTTTTCTGCATATTTTGACTCATGTTAGTCTTTTTCTCATTGAAGTTTGGACTCTTAGGTTGATCCTTTTCATTTCTCAAAGGATCTTTCTAATGCTAAAGACCTACAACACAATGCTTCTGTCTGGGTGCTCTATTAGGGCCTTTGCTAGTTCACCAGACAAAAGCTTTTCTCGTCAAGCAGGAAGTGTTTAGTGCACTCGATGCAGCTGAAAACATTCAGTTCACAGTAATACAAGGTTGACATGTGAATGAACCGCATAGCTTCAAATAAACTCTAGACTTCAGGTAAAAGTTGCAAAGGTATTGACAGTTGAACAGCAGAGGACGTCTCTCTAATCTCCAGCACATTTTAGCCACTAAAGACAGTGAGGACACCACGTAGTTTGGCCATGGGCGGCTCTGCTATCACCTCCGTAGCAGCTTGTTGCAGTGCAGCTGTCCCCTGCAGGGAGGCCACGGTGGAAACGTGTCACGATGGAGAGAGCACACAGGCTTGAATGGAAAAAGGCCATATGTATACTATTTTTGTGCGTGGTGCATTTACTTTGTGTAGTGTGCATTTGCTGCATCTGATGAGAGAATAGTTGAGGGGCTCTTGAGTGGAAGTCTGGATCAGGAGCTGAATAGAGTTACTATGACACCAGAGACAAGCACCTCCACTCCAGCAGCTTCTTCTGTTCCTCCCTCCTTCCCTGCTGCTCTGCTCTCAATCAGCCTGGATTTTCTTCACGTCGTCTCTCCTCTGTCTTTGATTTGGTTGAGCTCCTGTGCTAGTATGAATCAATGTACCAGCGCTTTCATGTTCCTTCTGATTCTCACATTTTGTATTTTTATTCTTTGTCTTCCTGTTTTTTTTAACCAGACAACCGTCGTGCAGTCCTGGAAAGATCTCGCTCACGGCACAACGCAAATCACCAAGCTCGATGATCACCCGCGCCTACTATAAGACGCTAGATAAGTGCCAAAGAGGGCTGCGAGGAGGAGACCTAGAAGACATCTGAAGGAGGGACAGACCACCCCTTACTGTGGCACATACACAAACTCCAAGGAATCCCACATACACACAGCACCAAGTACAGAACAAACAAGCCTAAAGAAACTACACAGAACTGAAGAATCATTTTCATCCAGTTCATCAGACGTTTTGCATATTTATTCAAGAATCGTTCATCACTTTAAATGTTTGTCCTCTCTAGCTGGTTTGATATTAAAAACAATACATTTTAAGGTTACTGCAGAGAAATGAAACGTTTTGATTGTTTGAAAATCCATTTTCATTCTTGCAAGTCTAAGCCTTCCACTTAAATCCTTCTGTAATCAAAATACTTCACACTCAGATTTGACGTGAAACATGTATTGAACATTGCAGCGTACTGAAGAAAGAACTAATGCCAAGAAGGACTGCAGAGTCGTTCATTCCCGTGAACATACCACACACCCTTTATTTTGCAAACAAGCAGCGGGGCAGCTGTCCTCTAAATGGAAAACAGGGATTTAACACCCGTGTTGGCAAGCCTTCAACCTGCTGATGTTTTCTCGAGCAGCTCCCCAAGCTCTTATCAAAGAGGGAGTAGTTGTTTAAAATTTCTTACTACCTCCTTCAACCAACATCAAGACAGTTTTCACAACAGCCAGTTGTCTCCATAAATCAGCTCATTGCATATACCACAAAGCCACAAGAGCTGGCCCCCGTCTGTACCGATATTTCAGAGCTTGTGACTCATGGATTTTGAAACTGTAATCTCCATTTTGACAAGATGCATTTTATTTTTAGTTGTGTAATATCTAACTTTGCCTTTGGGTGCTGATCTGTCCCAAGGTCGCTTTTGCTTCTAACATGAGAGACTGACACATTTTTAAATGCATCTAACTGCCTGGAGGAGCTAACATGAACTTTTTGACCTTTCCTGTGATCAGGTGTTCAGCAAGGGAACAAAACGACAACATTACCATCATTTTATTATTAATCTGTTTGAAATACAATAAAGGCACAGGCCGAAAATTAATCTATCTGTAAACTAGCAGTAAAAGGTTTGCACTTTTCTTTCATTTGGTTTTTAAACACTGGAATCTCCAGAAAAAGAAAGAAAGAAATTATGGAAAATTTTGAACCAGGTTAAAATAACAAGTGCTTATGTAAGCAACCTGTTGCAGTAGTTACTGAAAGGCAGTGCTGTCACCAGTGCCTGACGTAGGACTCGTCTCTATGACTACAAAACAAAAACGAGGCTTGCAATCTAACATGTGGTTAACTTTGTGAAAGGGTCCGTTTTATCCCAAATGTTGACCTTTTCCCAAACCTAACTGAAAAACAGAATATATATTTTATATAAATATGTAAAAACCCTCGTAGGTTCCAAAACATTTAAATTCATCTGACTGAATGTATGAGGTCAAACAGGGTTTTAAGACCACCAAGAGGTGGGATTTGTGTGATTCTTCTACCTGGACAAACTCCTCCAAACAGCCACCTGGTGTGTGGCGTTTGTGTACGTGATAGTTGAAACTTTGCTGTGAGCTTGTTTCTCTGTATGGGCTCACTGTCACACAGTTTCACGTGAACTATTTATTCATGTATTCATGCCTAGGGTGGCCCTTGTTCCCTTACTTCCCTAAACTGTAAGCAGATGCTACTAAAAACAACCGCTGAATCCACATGGAGACCGGGCACGAGCAGAATTATCGACTGAGGGGCACAGTAGACAAGATGATCCTTGTCTTGGAAAGCGAGTCTCCGAACGCCCTCCGATTCCCCGGCACTAAGGGCACGAGCAATCATTTTACCTTAAGACAGGTTACCACACTAATAACAGAACTCAGCTGTAGGCTTTGTGTGTCTGTGTGTGTCTGTGTGGGGCAATCGTCTGTGTGCACCATGCCAGCTCAGTAATCGGAACAGGAACTCGGGCAAAATAGGATTCCATGTGCTCGACTCCTGGGCTGAATAGATGGAGATTTTTTTCATTTAAACAATCTGCCAGTGCAGCTTATGATGTGTCTGTTTCATGATGCCTCCTCTCCCAGCCTGCGCACTTCTAAAAATGCAATTTTACACATCATCTCGGCTCAAGGTGCACCCACAATACTCTGAGACGTCTGCATATTTAATTCTCCTCTGAATATAAGGTTTGAGCAGTCATACAGAGAAAGCAGAGAGAATGAGGTTTCTGCATTGATGGCAGTTTTAAAGACGTGTTGCACACAGCGCAGAGATTGCAGTGATTTTTCTTTCTTGCCCTTTGCCCTCAGCACAGTTTCAAGCAATTAATAACAGCTATTGTTTTATCAGTCGTCCAACTACAGTGATATTTAGTGCTTTATGATTGGATACTGTGTATGCTAAAACAACAAGTGGTTTGTGGTCAGCAGTAACACAAAATTTGACTGAATTATTCTTTTTTTGCTCATTTTAAACAACTTTCTTCCACATTTGCCAAGTGTTTGTTTAGCTTTTTTTCTCTAAACTATAAAAAAAGACTGTACAGACAAAAGCTTTTCTAAAACTGTAATTGTTATTTCAACTTTGATCCAATTAAGTCATTCAGAGTAGGAAATTTGATGTTATTATGATAGTCAAGTGTTATTTCTTATCGAAACACTGGTGCATCTTTTTAGAGATGTCATTTAAAAATCTGTTTTGTAATGATTCTGCAATGTTTGCCATTATAGAAGTTCCAGATCATCAGTGTTCACCTTGAATACGTTTGGTGTTTTTGAATGATAACAATGAGTGAAAACAAGACGCTTCTACAACGACAACATTTCCATCGTCCCTGTGAGTGATTCATGTGTTTCTCCCCCACACCATCTCGTAGAATATTCAGAATAATGTGTTTTTTCCTAGAAGAATAGTAGAGAGTCCATTGACAATGAACCCGAATTGGTCTGCCGTGTTATTGTAGAAATCAGCATATCGGCCCATCCTCTTACTGGTTGTTACTAACAAACCTCAGCTGATGATGTTCTCATTGTAATGGTAAGAATGGCGAGGCAGGGGTATAAAGGTAAAGGTGCCATTTCTCTGCAGTGGCAAGTGATTAAATGAAAAGTTTGAAATGTTACTTACACTCACTGACTGCGCACTTTACCTCACAAGTTATTCTGCTCAGGCGGAGAAAGATTTGTTTAAGATTCGTAAATACAACATTGCCACTAACAGAGTGAACTATTTGCAAAGCATTTCCTTTGGTAAATAGTTCCCAGCTGCCACATATCCAGTTCTTTCCGACTTTGTTAGCGCTTACTATTGATTTGTGGAAGAACAATTGTGGCTGAATCAACAAACAATGTTCATAACTGTTGACAAACCCTGTCCAACCATGGTGTGTAAGCTGCCATATCCCTGCCTACCTTTCTTGTTGTCACCGAGTATGTTTTATTGTCATAAGAAACATTTATATTTGTAACATTTTAAGTTTATTTGTATCCTTAGAAACATGAAGAAGCAAAATGGTTATGCACACTGTCCTTCCATAAACTATGTAATGGAATATGATACTAAATAATAACCACTTTGTTATATAAACACATTTCTGTGCGCGTCTTTGTCTCTTCTTCTTTTGCCAGTAGTTTTTTTCTATTCACACGTCACAAGTATTTCTTGATCAAGTCTTCACCTTTTGTCTTGTGTGGGTCTAAAATTACATCTTCGGTTCATTTTATAGCACGGCAGAAGATACCTGCTCCTCTGACTTATGGACAGAGCTTACAGAGAGCTCCAGGTTTTAGTACATGATAAATGAGACAGCTCCTACCTATAAAAGCAACATATTTGGACCTCGGTGTCCTCGCTGCTTTATCTTGCACAGTGTCAAAGGCAAAGTGATAATGCTGTCATGTCTAATGGCAGCTTAGGGAAATTACTAGCGTCTGAAAACACATTTCAAAGAATTCTTCTCATTTTAATCATTTTGCAGACGTTTCTCTCTACTGTGACTTCAGCTTATCTCCACCTATGTTAAACAACGGGGAAAATCAGGGTAGCAAACCAATCATTTGTTTATTATTTGATACTAAAGAATTTTAATTTGTAAGCCGGGGAAACATTTTCTCTGGAATTTCTCTTTTATAGGCAGTCAAAACAAAATTTGCAGTTTAAATCTGTGTTAGGCAGTTTGACTTTAAAGTTAATAAGAGTCTTTTTTTTTTTTTTAGAGCAGCAATTTATGGAAAAAATGAACTCTCCATGATGTGTTCCTGTGCGATCAGTTTGTGTCAGTCTGTACGAGTCTCACTAGCGAGCGTCGAATTGCAGGGCAGGGCTGCTCCTGTCCTGACCGTTTGCTTTACCGACCACCACCACCAAGTCTGCTCACATGTAATGGCGTGTTCTCCCTGCATGTGCCATGTCCCACATCCCAGCTGCAGCACGACATCATAAAATAAGGGCTGACATCTGTGAGTATACCTCGGGTCACAAGGAGCTCTCTCCCGCTCCTCGTGTGCACTCGCACACAGAAATGCGCGACGCTTCTCTCGACGTGTCTTGGGACTGATCTTCTCTGAGCCTCTTCTCCTCCCAGTGTGCAGCCAGACAGATGGAGATTCATCTCTCAACAAGCTGTGATCTGTGTTTAGAGATGTGTGCTGCAGAACACAACTCTAATTAGGTTTATTGTTGATCTAGGGAGGTTAATTTGTACTTGGCTGCAAGTGCTAAAGAAGGCCAACCTAGTTCCTTACGAGGCACCAGCACTGCAACCATAAGAAGAACAGCTTTTTTATCTTCTTGACTTTCGAGGTGATTCAGAATTATTATACCCTCTTGCTATATTTGTCTAGTTCGGTATAATTGCGCTTTGTACCGGGCTGAGAGATCTGTCATGGCCGGGGCGGTAGAACTGGAAATGAGATACTAGAAGTGTGTTTGTCTAATGAGCTTAGGGGTACAGTTGTGTGGATGTGGCAGGTATTACTTATTTTTTATCCTGTTTTCTTTTCTTTTTTACAACCTCCAGGTAAGTAGCCTTGTCAAACTCTGAGAGATGAGCCTGGCCCACACAAGTTTTTTCTCTCTCGCCACCTTCTTTCTTCACGCTATTCACAGTCGTGTTTCTAATGCACTCTGTGACAGATCAGTTGTCAGCGGGAATACAACATAATTATGTTTCATTTCGCATTTCCGCCTAATGGAATACGCAAACATTATGGAGATGAGACAAAGCAGGCAGTAACGATTCCATCCTTACCTGAGCTAATTCTGTCTGAGGAGAAATCTGATTCAAGCAGCACTTTGCGCTTAACCATGGCACTTTGATAAAATGCATGCATGTCCAGGGTGCATGGGTGTCTAAATAAATTTGCCTGTAAAAGAATTTATTGGCTAATGTTCTGCAGGTGTGTGCCATTTGTGAAAGGAACAACTCTACCTATAGGCCTGTTTGGTGCTTTGCAGCTTGAGCAGCATTGCACATTTGTCTTGGTGTATTTGCCATTAACAGCTCAGCGTCATGAGCATGTAAGACTTACAGTTAATGTGACCATCACAGTAGTGCTGCACCGAAAATGCATTTTAAGAAAACACAGCATATTCTTGTAACGACAGTTTATGTTATGGTGCTTATTTTCTTTTAACTCAACAGGATGGGAGTCATCAGCTTTGCACTGTTTAGAAGCTAAACTTAAATATGATGCCAATGGTACTTTGTCTTTACCCGCTGTTCTGCTACGTGAGCATAGACTGCACATTGATATGTAAACTACTTGAATGAAAGGGCAATAGCTAGCAGGAGCGCTACTGCAAACGAAAGTTTTGATTAACAAAGTGTAAACATTTTTGCCTGCGACAGTAACTGGGATGCTGGTGAACAACGGGATAAAAAGTCTCACTTATCGAGAGAACTGAACAGCTGTCTCCTCCCAGTGTCTTTGAATACAACCAAATACTAAACCAGCTGCAGTGGAGGTGGAGCTGACTAAGAAATGTGTGCACTGTATGCTCACAGTGCCCTGGATTTATTTTTTATTTCACTTTAAATGGGAACATAAGTTTTTCAAATTAAAATAATTTGATGCTGAATAAGAGTGAAAAGCAGAGACTGGGACCAAAAACCATTCAGGAGGATGTTTACAAAGTTAAAGAATCAAGTGAGATGGTTAATTTTCCCAAACATAATCTTGAGTGTCACCACCTGCTGGCTATGAGGACAAAGAGGCTGTTTTAAGGCACTCGTTCAAAGGCTTTCCTCCTCAGACCCAGATACTACGTTTATGATTAATATAAAGCATATATATATGCTATAATTGAACATAGTGGCCAAACTGTGTAGCTACAAATTCATCCATTCATTCATTCATTCATTCATTCATTCATTCATTCATTCGCTTCCGCTTATCCTTTTCAGGGTCGCGGGGGGCGCTGGAGCCTATCCCAGCTGTCATAGGGCGAGAGGCAGGGACAGACAACCATTCACACTCTCATTCAATCCAATTAACCTATCCCCACAAGCTGCATGTCTTTGGACAGTGGGAGGAAGCCGGAGTACCGGAGAGAACCCACGCAAACACGGGGAGAACATGCAAACTCCACACAGAAAGACCTGAACTCAGGACCTTCTTGCTGTGCAGCAACAGTGCTAACCACCGTGCTGCCCGCTACAAATTCATAATGTAATATAATTGCCCAAAAGGCATTTCTATTACATTTGTTGGAAGGGCTGTTAAGCAGTGAATAAATTTTTCTGAACATTTAAAACTCCACAATCCCAAAGACCCCTTCATTATCAGAAATTGATTCCTTTAATCCAGTAACTATCAGAAAGACTTAAAAGCTGTGTGATTATATTACCTAATTCTGTTCATATGTGTGTGGAGCCTAGGGGAAATCAGGGTAATAATCTAGCAGGAGTCATTTTTTGGCTGAAAAGAAAACTACTGTTCATGCTTTATGGGCACATAAATGAAGAAACTTGTGGAAAACTGCACGTCGCGTCACAGAAACGGTGAAAGAAAAATTGACCATAAAAACGACGAAATCACTGGAATTTTCATACAAAGCCATGAGGTGGCATTCCTCATGGCTCCGAACAGAGAAAATAAAAGTTAAAATAAAACTTACTACAGCATGCTGCATCAAAGGTTTTATTATTTCAAAATGATTTTGTTTTAGTCTTAAGGCTAAGTCATTAGTAGGCACAGGTGACAGGTGGTTGCCAACAGGGGCATTCATATAGCTAGCTATCTGCTAAGCCTCGTATCCACCAACAGAACAGTTTGGCACAGGTGCTATGACTGTAGCCATGTGGAATAGGAGTTGCAACTAAAGATTATTTTTCTTTATCAACAATTTAAAAGGCCAAGGTGATGTTTTCAGCTGCCTGTTTTGTTTGGCCAACACTGCAAAGAAATTCTTCAAGTCACAAAGAAATTAAACCAACATTAAAACAATGAAATGTTTTGGCATTTTTGACAAAAACAGATGGATTTTGCGCTGACTGATTAATTCCCTGAGCCGTATAATGAACTGGCTTCTATGCAATAACGCTGTCTGCTCTCTTCTTTGACTTACTCAGCACCCAGATTCAGATGTATGAGTGCCTCCAACTATCTGACTGTAAAACATTTTTCACTCTTGTGTTGTTCACTTGCAGACGTACAAGCATTCTCCCCAGATCTGCCCTCTATCTCTCTCTTTTTTTCCCCTGTCGGCCTTGGAGTCACTGGAAGTCACTTATCACTGTGTTTCTGCAGTTTTCCCGCTGCAGTCCCAGAGTTTTACTACTTATAAATCAATACATCTTTTTTATTTGTTTGTTTGTTTGTTCTGAGTACATGAAAATGTAAAATGACCTAGACAGCAGATGTATCTTTTGCCTCGCTAAGCTTCAATGGCTGCACTAGCACTGTGTCCAACAATCCTGCCTGACGTTGAGTGATGGCAGAATATACCGAAAGTGGTGAATTTAATACAGAAATATTCTTGCAGGAGTGTGTGCTTTGCAATGGATCAAATTATTATACTGCATGCCCACAGATGAGAACTGCTGGTACTCCTGCATTCAGCGTGGCATTTCCATGATCACAGTTCATTGCTTCACCTTACTGTATGTCTTCTGCTTTTTCTTCCTGCCTCACCCCACTCAGGAGACATGTCTCCCAGCAGGGAGAGGGTCAGCTCAGAGGAGACTTCAACCTGTCAGAAAAAATTCACATCTAGCCCCTCATGCCTCTCTTCACCATCCAACCCTTCTGTCTCCCACATCTCCAGCGCTCCCTCCCTGGCACCCATCACTCCTCTTTTCCTCTGCTACCCTCCTCTTCTTGCCATTTGATTCAGATCACTGAGTTAGCCTGCGTCTCCTTTGTCTGACGCCCCATTTCGCCAGGCAGATGGACAGGAGGAGAGAAGACGGACTCACATCGAGGTATGCGCGTGTGTGTTTATGAGATGGAAGGAGAAAAAGAAAGGGAGGAGAAGTGCCGAAACTTTTCTTGGAGGTAAAAATGTCAAACAGCAATGAAGTGAGGAGACTTTTATCTGTCAAACCTGTATGAGGTCTTGCCTTTCAGGCTACTGAGTGACAAGGCTGCAGTTAAAAGA